TAATCACCGAATATAATAACATAACTACTCAATATAATGACATAACCACCCAATATAATAAAAAAAAGTATCATAAGACAGTTCTGGCGTTCCATACATTTTCATTGCCTTACTTGGGCAGGTCTAGCATACTTTTTATGAGTCCAGCAGTATTTATTCTATCTTTGCAAGTCAGAACTATCAAAAGGTTAAATGAAAATATGAACGAGGAATAAAAATGTGCATTGATATTACATACAAATATATCTAATAGGAGATCCATTTTCTAATAGCTTCCTTTCCGTTTGTGATGTGATTTGTGTTGTGTACGCTAAGAACTGACTGGAATTATACACCTAAAAGACTAAACTTTACATTTCAATCAGTTTTCTATGGTAAAACTTATTGTGTCTCATAAGAGATTCATTATCAGATGTTTTTCTTTGCCAATTAAAAAGAAAACCGTTTGAAATGTGTTTTGTGTTGCGTACGCTTAGAACTAACTGGAATTATACAACTATAAGACTAAACTTCATTTTCAAACGGTTTTCTTTAGCAAAACGTATCTTGTAACAACTGTTCTCGTTCCACCCACTATTCTTGAATGGAGCGAGACAAAAAGATCTAAATGCCAAGATCGAAATTCAGGATTTTTCAAGAGGGGGGAGGGGGTGATTGCTGGTACCTTAGGGTTGTAGAATCAATTGGGCATTTTCCAAAAATGTTGGAATTTGAGAATAGGAACCTAATTGAACACCGTTTCACTAGAACTACCAGCAATGCCACAAAGTAGAAATAAAATGACGTACCTGTCCAGAGAGTTTGCCTTTATTTCAGCCATAACATTCACAACCCTTTTCTAACTTGTTATGCTTTATTTCTCCTGAAAGGGGGGCTATACACTCAATCCACCCCATCACCTCCCTCTGAAATCATCTTACCTTTGCAGCGTCTTGAACCTGCTCTTCATCTTTACTGGAATCCATAGAGACGGTACTGAAGATACGAGACCGTTTTCGATCAACGGGTTTGTCTTTTTTTCTTCTATCATCTTTGGCTCCTTCATTGACAAATACAAGAGGTATTTGGCCAGTGTCTGCTATCTCTTGTTCGCCTTTCTTGTCTTCCTTTTTTCCCATTGTTTAAGAAACTCACGGTGAGCTCTAGAGAAGGCCTAGGTTTCTTGCAAACCCTCACAGGTCAAAGTCTATGGAGAATATCAGAAATTTGAAAAGGAGATGAGAAATTTTGTATGCATCTCCAAACAACTATATGCAATACACATGTTTGTCAGATAAACTGCGGTGTTTCACAAGGATTTCCAGTCCTGCTGAGAAAAGCCGTCATTGTACGCGATAATTTGACTATGATAGCAATCTTCAGTAATGTTAGGAAATTTTCTAAAAATGTTCCGGAACGTTCGTGTTGCCTTCAGACAGCGTTTTGAGAATCTTCGAAATTTCATCCGAAAGTGCCGAAAATCTTCGGAAAGTCGTCATAAATGTCGTTATTCAGTTAGTACGTTTATATAATAAACAAAATATTCATGGTTGCTTGTAGTTATTGTATTCCTCTTCTCGAGTTCAACTTTATATCGAGCTGAACAATTGAAGAGAAATTCCTTTCTACGCGCGCCCAGGGTTTATTCTCAATTTTTGTTTTACATCATAGGACCACATAATCGCCCTTAACTTTCCTTTAAAAAAGAGTGGAGCGGATGTGGGTAGACCACTTGTCTAACTCAAGCTAGCATAGAGACTGTTAATTCAGTTTTATGATACTACTTGGATAGTCTTGATCATATTCCGAAGATTTCGAAATTTCTCGAAGATTGTACGAAGGTCATACGAACATTCCGGGTACGGAAGCTGTTTACAATTTCAATTTTGAATGTTTAAATATATGCTCATAAGTTTCAAAATACTACATCTTAAGGAAAGCAATGAACACACACCAAACTACAAACTTTCTCGTTTTTGACTTTTACAAGTCAAAAGAACAGCTTTCTAGCTAAAGAGAGAGAGAGAGAATAGGTCAGATTTCACTTTACAGTTGAATGACGTCAGAAGAAACCTTGCAGGCCACAAAGTGTCACCGCGGAAGACTTAACTCTGAAACTCGCGAAACACTGCATGCAAAAAACAAAAACAGCAACATCATAGAAAGCAGATTAAACAATTTACCACTTTGGTCGTTTTATTTTTTTCATCGGAGTTAAATGACAACGCTTGGAAACATTTCATCGTAACAGTAGAAGTACTACAAACAATTCAAGTGTCGGTCGTAATGGACACAAACAGTTATTATGACTTAATATATTGGTCTTCGGTGTCTTGATGTGAAACTACACCTCGACTTAAATTTTGGTTCATTCAAACAAAACAACGTATGTATGCCTTAGTTTGTTCATAATGGCATGAACTTCGCAATCTTTTATTTACTCCCAGTTCCTAGCCAAAGAGCGGAAACATGACAACAGTTCTAGAAAAATCGATAAAGACTTTAAACAAACTAAGAGTCGATTGTACTTACTTGCTATAAATCATAGTTTTAGATCGTAATTCCAAGCGTTTGGAAGAGTAAAACAGAACATATTGCAGTCTCCTTGGTTTTCGTTCGTGCCATAGAATGTTGTACACTTGACTGATTTACAAAACGTTTTCAGCTCGAAACATTGATTGTTTTCAGAAAACAAAGCATTTTGACACCACTTATTGTATAGGCTTAGTATACGTAAGTGGAAATTAATAGCAAGGGCCATTTTGAATGACAAAGGCGCATATAACTTATTTTCGTAACATCTTTACTAATTTTCTGTTCCAAATTCAAAGTAAAAAACTTAATATTTGGTATATACATTTCGCCGATAAAAGTAAAGTATAAAACTTTAAGGTAATAAGCTGTTAACGATCTGTTTCATCATGATGATCAAACAGATCGAAAACGTTTAGACTCATAATTTTGACAGCTTTTTACCTTAAAGTTTTATATTTTAATATTTGGTGCTACCTAGAATTTTGTAAAGTTACCTGGAGGTATCTATTTTTAACTTATTTTAGATTATGTCTTTCTTAAAATTATGACACTCGCTGGAAAGAAGATGATCCACAATTGCAAGTAATCGGTAAACATTCGTTAAAAAAAATTCACCTAGAGTCATGTGGACGGATGTGGCCAGTGGTGTTTATTCGTCTGTCAAGTTTAGTATGCTAATAAAATCTTGCTCGATTGCCTGCCGAAAAGACCTCCACGGTAGTAAACTTTTAATCATCAAAAATCCGCTACCCAACTTAGAATGAGAACATAAAGAATGAGACTTATTTTTATCAGCAATAAAGCAAGACTGAAATGGTATTTCATATTTTCAACATTACAGCTAGGAATGTGGTGGACAAATTTCATACGGTCTGCGACGTCTGCCTACCAATGCAGCGAACGGGCCAATGCATGGCGTCAATTTGAAGAGGATACTTACAAACGGTTTACGTAACAGGAAATTAAACTGCGTGGTCATTCCGTGATACATAAAAAATTTAAGGCAAAAACGATTAAGATAAGGAGCACTTTTTAACAATAGAAAGTTAAAAAAAAAAGAGATAAGAGAATGATAAGGCGTGAACGATTTCTAATTTCCAATGCTTGTTCGTGTAAAATGCAAATATACAAATACCGCAGAAAATAGCTAACCAACGAGTTTTTGAGGGAGTGTAAGTGTCTAACTCTCTAGAAGTTAAAAAAAAAAAGTTTCGTCAAGTTATGTTTACCTGCATTTGGTAAAGAGAACTTAGCAATTTCGTCGATTCAGTTGGATTAATAAGAGATTCAACTAACATTTAACGGCGTAATACAAAAGCGTGAATACCTCTAAAACGAAAAAAAATATTCCAAAAAGCAAAACGCCATTTTTCTTTACTTTGAAAAGCCTTTCAAATAAGCAGGAATTATTTTTTTCATGGGCACTTTAAGGTAGGTTTTTGTAGTTAAGCCGAAAACACTTGGCTGGTTTCGACTCCCACGTGATACTATAAAGCTCTTATTAGGAGTATTAATTTTACGTATTGTGCATGCAGTTATGCGTTGAAAACTGATAACTCACGGTTAGGAGATTTGCATACTAATCATACATGAATGTTTAGCCAGTTTCTCGTTTCCACCACACAAACAAAACCGTCTTATATTTTTGTTTATAAGAAAATATTTTTTAAGAATATCGAGTCTGAAACTTGGGAAACTTTAAGAATATTTTAAAAATAACTCGAAGCTGAGATTTATTAATTCAATTTTGCGTGTTGAAAATTTGTAAATACAATACACTGAATTACATTTATATGTTTTTAACTAATCTTATAAAATTTTTCTTTTCTCTAAACAGCAAAACCAGCCAAAAATGTAGAAAAAAAGAAAACAGCACTAGCCGTGTGTTCGAAGTTAATAACATTTCTGCAAGACGTTATGTACCTGACATCAAGCTTTAATGCGTGCACACTGACCCCAAAATTACTTTACACCATCCAGACACCAAATACACTCTTAAACAGAAATGTCATACGCTATAATCTAAGAATATTCACAAGAATAATTTAAGCCTAAAATCGGCAGAAAAATTTTAATAATCAATTTCGAGCGGAAAAATTATATTCTTATAAAACAAAAGATTTTAATTGACGACAAAAACCATCTCTGAAGGACTTAATATCATGCAATCCTGGGAAGTTTACTCAGACAACCAACAGATTCCTCTGTCATTCTTCTATTGTGATTAGCTAGGCCGGTCTGTTCACAGCTTTGTATAAAGTCATAGTAAAGTTATAAAAAAAAGTCACTTAGAGAATTCATGGGATTAACTTACATACCGACTGATTGAATAATAAAATTTTTCAGTTCAACATTGTAAAAGGTATGCATGACAAGAACTCGAGGAGACAACTATATCTTCAGGAAATGTTTTTTTCGGTGAGTACTATATTTGAATTGGAACTCAGAAATTGGAGTCTCTTTGCCTTGATGCAGTAAGGTAAAGGTCAAGTCTGCATATGAACCTGGTGGCCCATCAGGCCGGAGCTTATCCCGGTTCCTGTAGCATGAAGCGACTAGGAGTATTTCTACTCCCCCCTGGATGGGATGCTAGTCCATCACAGGGCTACCCCCAGCGTTAAGTCCACCGCTATCCATTTTTAGTATCAATCTACTAGCGTTTTATCATGAATGCCGTTTTCTAATTGGCTACGCTACTCACCATCTATTCTGCGATGGACAGTGAGTAGCGTAGCATTGTGCCCTTGTTAACAAAATGACGGCCGCTTCTTGGCGTTTTCGAAGAGTCTGTGAAGAGGATTTAGATTAAGTTTTGAACGACTACTAGATTTATACTAAAACAATTAGATTATTCGCTCTTGATTTCTATCGCGCGATAGTTGACGAGGGCACATAAAAATCTCGAGCTCATAATCTAATTGTTTAATACACCTGGGTGGAGAGAGGTACTGTGAGAGCAAAGTGTCTTGCCAGGGCTCGAACCCGGACCGCTTGATCCGGAGACGAGCGCACTAACCATGTGGCCACCACGCAGGGCTAACACTCAAAACGTCCACTTCGTAAACTCGCCAGGGGGAACTCCCATATGAAAAGGCCGGGGATACTCATCGTCTCCCTTAGGGGCATAAAACAAGGATTCTGGTCTCACTTGGTCTCACTTCATAACGAAACGCCACTATTTTTAGCTGCCAAAGTATCTTTTAGGGTGCATTCGAAGAAATAATTATAAAGAAAACGCTCTTATTCCTGTGTATAGGCCAGATTTCCTCCTGTATCTCGAGTCCCGTCTATTAGCGCGGGCTCCTTTCTTGAACAGCGGCTGGTAGTCGAGCCTATTCCATTTTAAGTGCTATCTTTTAAGGCTGATTTTCACTAGCGACGCAGTCGGAGTCGTGACAACTTACGACCTAGTGACAATCGAAAATCGGAGTCGTAAGCGGAGTCATAAGCTCGACGGAATCGTAGTCGGAAGAATCAGAACGTTTCCATTTCTTACGACTCCGTTGCTAATGATCTAGTGAAAACTAGATTGTCGGAGTCGGAAGCAGAAACAGAAGAACTAACTAATCACAAGGCCCGGAATCGAGCATTGTGATTGGTTTAATCTTCCGCTTCTGCTTCCGACCCCAACAATCTAGTTTTCACTAGATCGTAAGCGACGAAGTCATAAGCGGAATGGGCGTTCTGCTTCCGACTCCGTCAGTTTGATTTTCACTAGATCGCATCACTCTGCGCTTCTGATTACGGGCGTCCCCGACCTTTTCACGAGGGAGTTCTCCCCCCCNAAAAAAAAAAAAAACCGGAAATTTACTCCTTTACTCCTTTAACAACTTCAAGTTGATAAATTGCTTTCAGAGTCGGCTTGCCTACGCAAGGGCGCAGCCCAGCAGTTTCTTTAGAAACTACTAACTGTGTTCAAGTGGTTGGAACAAGAAGTTCAGATATTTCTGTTAGGAAGAAGGAACAGATCGAAACAAATTTGCCATTAACTAGAAAATTATTTCAGAAATGATGATTGTTTGGCTACTTCGTTGTCACGATAGTCCCAGATGTATTCTGACAAATTGGCGCGTTGCGCACCTTAAGATTTCAAATTAAATAGAAGTTGATAGACCACGTAGTTGATGCATTAAATTTTCTGGCCTGTTTCTATTTCCAAAGAAGCTCGATATCTATAAATAAATCGCGTTGCTCTGCCTAACCATACGTTTAGCTCGAGTAAGGCACCAGTTATTAGTCTGTTTTCTGTTTCATCTTAATGGCGATGACAACACGTTATAAACGAATACTTAATGGCGCTCAATCACAGTATTTTGAGTTATTTTGTCCGCGTATAAAATTACCTTTAAATTGAAGGAAGCCAAATATAGTAGTTTAGTAAGATGGAAAAACACCAGAGAGCTAATAATAAACCATAAAGAAACAAGGATGGTTAAGGATGGAGAAGATTGACACGGATTACTGACGACGAAGTTAAAGAATTCATGCTAAACTTTCAAGATGTGCAAACTGTGACGTAGCTCTTTTTAAAACAAGTTCTAATTCTCGGTTTGATATTTCATCACTAGGTAGATTTTTTTTCCTTTTCATTGGCCGAGAGTCCATCACGTGACCTGAAAATAATGGTCTGCTCATGCGTAACACCGTCTAAATGTGTTTTGCCGCAAATAATATTTTACTAGGTCATGCCTAAATGTAAACACGCTCTTATGTATGGAACTGAAGGCTGATGGCTTCGATCTTGAGCTGTCAGAGTGATTTAAATGTAAAAAAACACTTGGTAGTTAAATCAGAAGATTATTAATTGAACCCGGTTATCGCAAACTATCGTGATTTGTCAGTGCGCACAACTAAATTATTATCCTTGGCCTTCGGCTTCGGGAAATAATCAGTGATTTGCTCGCCACTGACAAATCATGATATTTGGCTCAACCTGCTCCAATCGTTATTAATTATTTTCTATAACAGATTTTTCTGTTTAGGGTATTCCTTAATTCGGCGTATACTCAATGCTTGAAGAAGGGTCGGCGAATCTAATGGAATGTACTTCTGGCAAACAGAAGCAATGATTTTCCTGTTTTGAAATAACGTTTGCTGAGTCACTTGTAAGTAATGCTTCTTACACCATGGTGTCACCTTGATTTAGTATGAGCACTACAGTTCCCGCTCGCCCTAAGTAAAAGACGCTGAAAAACCGAGCAAACGAAATAACACAATGTAAATTTTTACCTAAATCTGATTACAAGAGGAACAAGCCGATGGGTTAGTAACGTCTCAGAAATAATAGCTGTACATGAACCGGCAGAACGGTGTCTGTTTCATGAATACCCAGGCTGCTGTGTAGTTTCCACAGTGGCCGATTAATAAAGCTTACTAACGAATGAGAAATCTGTTACTGCTGCAAACAAAACTACAAATTCCCTTATAGGGACTCATTACAGCCCATCTCTGATCGAATGTTTGTTTTGCTCTCCCAATCAGACAATCAGTCGACAGTCAGTCTGCTGGCAGAAAGTGGTTTCGCGTGAAACACTTTGACAAGGCCATTTCTGTCATTTTTCGTAGTGATATACGAAATTAAAACTTTGATTTATCGCGGGGTTTAATGTTGAAATCCATAAACATGAATTTGGGGTTGCCTGCGGTGATTTAAATCGAGCGATCGAACGTGTAACTTCTCTCGTTCGACAAGTTTTAAAAGTAATTATTCTACTCCAGTTTATAGACAACTAAAATTTGTTAATGTGTCTTTTTAACTTACCTTCAAATCTTCTATTTGTAGCTTAAATCTACCCTCCTGAGACCTTGGTTTCCCCGGCTCAAGATGATGACAATCTTAGTTAGAGACAGTACGTCTTAATTAATTCAGTAGATTAAAAAATTCACACAGTGACTTTGTTCTTACAACTAAATAATTAGTGATTCGTCTAGCTTGCTAATTATATACTAAAGAAATTTTTATTCGGAAACTTCCAACCGCCCGAGGGGATGCTCCCTAATGTGGACTATATTGGTATGTGTGGCCCCAAAGAGTATGATTTTTTAGCCGTTTTGATCAGAAATAGGTATCGATTTTGGCCATTTTAGTCCCAATTTTGCACTCTACTCTTAAATTGGGTATGTTTTACTTTTTTTTTAGAAGAAGCTACTTTTTTCATCATTATGATAAAAAGCCCTTCAAAATATATGCCTTTAGCATTGGTCTGAACTAAGCAAGTATTTATACGGGTAGGTCTGACGCAGAGTGAATCTACAACTAGGCCTTTAAAAACTTGGTCCAAATCCTCTTCACAGACACTTCGAAAACACAAAGAAGCGGCCACCATTTGACTAACAACAGCTCACTGCTAGGCTGCTCACTATCTACAACAGAATAGATAGTGAGTAGCGTAGCCAAATAAGAGAACGGCATTCGTAATGGTGGTCACGGTATAACCGTATGAACTAGAGTGGCGCTGTTATGAGCGTGTCTCAAGACTTTTTACTCCAACGTAAACATAGCTAAAAATAGTGTTCTCATTTTTTTTAAAATAATATTCTGGTGTACTGAAGCTATTGAAGGGTATTAGCATAGGTTCTCAAGCACAGAGGTTTCATCTGAAATTGAAAAACTCTGGCAAGCATTTTCAAGTTCTGCCCTTGTGTTTTTGAACAGCCGCTTCAAACTAATTAAAATTTGGTCTCTGTCTCTCATTTATTCACTTAATTTCTCGACCTTGCTGTTCTAGTCATCTTAAAGGACTATTCATACGTTATGCTTTGTCCTAATTTTAGCACTGCTCTGGCTTTGAAATAGCCTTGATAATGCCCTTTAAAGCCTCTGAAATCATGACTCTTTGAAAAGAAATTAGCGTGAACTCTAGGTAGGAAGAAAAAATATAACTGGATTAACGGTCGACGGGCAAATATAATGGAACTCGGTTAATACATCGACAAGTTATTTTTAAGATTTACATAGCCTCGAGCGGAAAAGGTCGATTCGCTCCTGGTTTTGATCATTTTTGCGTTCCATTGATGAAATGTTTGGGCAAGTTTGGCTCTTGGAGGTTTCTCACAAAATCTACAAACTTGATTGGAACAGTTAGATTGGCACCAGGCTTTCGCCCAATCCGAATTCCGGCTGAGCTGCTTTCACTTGTGAGCTCCAGATTTCAATAAGGCGCGAGGAATCGTTCTCCCCCGCAGCTTTTAATTAATAAGACTCTAATAAGTCCAAGGCTTAATCTTCTGAAACAACTATGGTCTTTGATGAGCGCGCTAATTGTTTTGTCTTGGATCCGTATACGGCTGAGCTCCAAAATCTTGGTCCGTTCACATGATCAGCTTTTAGATTATATAGTCCGCTCAACTTACAGACTTTAATCATGGTTGGGCGAGTGATTGACAAAAATTATTATTTTTATTCACTGAAATTGATAGAGAAATAGACAAGCTTTACTTGGGGCTATCTGGTTGGGAGCTAACACTCACTTTGGGGCTAGCATGATCAATTTAGGGGGCTAAACGACCGGATTGCCGTCCAGTTATATACACGAAAACAGTCTAGTTAGCGTTATTAACGTTATTAATTAATTTCTTAGTGGTCAAACCAAAGACTTAATTTATTTAAGCCGACTCGTGATGGAAAGAAGGTGCAGCACTCTTTGAATTCATACACCCCTCAGTATTCCAAGGAAATTGGCTTCGGATGGTCGTTTCACGAAGTGCGCAAGTGGTGGTTAACTATAGAGAAACGGCCTTGTAGACTATTTTTCATCCGAGTTTTAGTCTTGTATTTTAATGTGTTCTTTTCACACTCGGTAGCTGTATAATCATCGCATTCCTTCTGTGAAGATTTACCGTTATGGTAACGAGACACACCAACTGAAAAAACTTTCTCAAGCGAGATCCCAATAGGATAAAAGGGGAGGGGAAAGGAGTTAAATATCCCGTATCCATTAATTTCAATTGCAAAAACTGACGATTTTCCTATACCTTATATCCCATTTTATCTGATCTAAATATCCCATTAATTTTCCCCCAAATATCCTGTATCCCGTTTATTTTTTTTACCTAAATATCTCGTATCGTGAAGTCCCCCAAAAGGGCCTCTCCAGTCCCTCGCGGTTGTAGACAGTCCTGATGCTTGCGTGCTACATCCTTTCACTCCCGGGTTTTTATTTGTTTACTGTTCCTTCACTTCACGCGGAATATAAGAAATAAACCGCGCTTGTATTAAGCTGGCTTGGGTTTTGAGCGCTGTTGACATTTTTTCTCGTTCCGAGCTCGGTTTTCGCAGCTCAACTCGTTGTCGAGACTAACTCCAGAGGAATAGACTGCAAAACAGTCGTTTTTGGATGTTTTGGAAGGCGCGAAGCGCCGTAAGCGCAATCCTCGCGTGTGAAGCGTCTCTCCCCATTCTCCCTCGCGGTTTTTACATTCGCCTCAGACCTTTCGTTCGAATATTGACCGTCGCCGCAGTCGCAAAAAATACGAGAGGAAGGATTGTCATCAGTTTGTGAGACGAATTTATTCTATTGGGCGGTTAGTTCACTTATATTAAGAAAGCTATTTTTTTAGTTTAATTCTTCTGATTTCTGGAACCGGCCAGCTAGTTCGTAGGCTCGATTATCAGACCCTGCTCGAGAAAGGACCCCGTAGACCAGACTCAAGTGAGCGGCGGAAATCGAGCGTAATTAGTTCGTCGTTCAAGAGGCACGAAAGAAGATAGTTCGTCTTGACGTCTAATCCTTGTTTTAACAGATCTTATACTGAGGCACAATTAAGAGGGTCCAACTTAAGGCTTAATCCCGCCATCCCGCGGGATGTTTCTCCCGATTACAGTCCTCCGTGATTTTCTTTTGTTTCATCCCGCATCCTGACGACTATTTTGAAACTATCCCGCATTCCAGCTGTCAACTTGAGCAAATCACGCTCCTGTAGAATAATTTTTGTTCTGTATCTCGCCATGGAAATTTCTGTCATCCCGCATCCCGCCCCCATTTTGACTGTCATCCCACATCCCGCCAAACCTATGTAACTTTCTCAAGTTCGTCAAGACCTGGAACCGTATGATACGGCTCCTATCCAGACGGGATATGAATCTCTAGGATAAAAACCTCCAACACCTTTTTTTCAGACTTGTCCAAAACTGGCCTTTCAAGGATGAAAAGATGTACTGAACAAACAGAGAAAAAACACGGTCGACAACAACAGAGAGTGGACTGAAACGAGCGTTTTCCGCAATGAGCCCGCGATCTTTCATCGATTGGTATAAATTGCTGTGCGGTGTGACGTCAAGCATCCCATAATATATTGACTGTTCTTCTCGTTCGGTCGTCATGTCTTGGCTGCCTCGCATGGCGAACGACAGGGCGGTAGACTTTCTTGCTTGGATACTCCATGCAGCACTCCCCTCAAGAGATTAAAACCATCCTAGACCGTGTAGTAGACGCTGATGGAAATGTGAGTCAATTTTGAGCGTGTTTCATCCATTCATTGCCTGGGAATTAACACTTTTTTTCCTCCTCTTGATCGGTCAGGTTTTGGACATGCCGGCGGTTCTCGAGGCAGTGACGATTTTGGAGCGCCTTCCCATCACGAAAGAGGCCCTTGAGGTGAAATTTCGAGTCTTTTTAATTCTTGAGGGCATCTTAACTCTGTTAATATCATTACAGCCCTTGAGCAATATTTTTTATGGTTGTAAAAGAGTGCATGAAAACGACGGGGTCGTGAAATGCATGTGAAGGATTCTAGGGAAGCTGAGGTGATTTCAGGTCACGATTCACATTTTCAGTTTACTCGGAACTTAGTATGAACGTTATCTTTCCGCAGCATTACTTAATACTATGTTCTGATATTTTTGCTGTTTTGGATTCTGTTCTGTCAAGTGATGGTACAAAACTTTGATCGTTTGAAAAGTGCAACTGTTCGCTGCGAGAACACACCGTGTCATCTTCTTGGGTTAACAAATTTCCTCGATTTTGCCTTGTGAATTATTGTAAGTAAAGTAGAAATACCTCCATGCTGATTAGGTCTGACAGATCACAACTTTCAAGCAAAGAGTTTTTACTAGAGCTTTTTCCGGGCGGTTTCTTGTAACAAAAGCGAAATTTACATTGTCGAAATGTACTTGGTAGAGTTTACTACGGTTGACCTTCTAGTAACCTTTGTTTTTACAATTGGTTCTGAGAAATATGAAAAGGATTATTTTTATGAAAGAAGGTTGTTTCAAAAGTTTCGACTCAGTCGCATCATTTCTATAATTGAACGAGTCGATTCTTTTCTTGGAAACCAAAGTTAATTCGAATTCACTCGGAATGTATAATTACCGCATACAAGTCGATTTCATGCACATCGAGATCGCACATCTGGCTTAGCAAGTTCATTCATAAGGGTGCTAAGAAAGCTCCGGTCTATAAAATACATTCGTTTTAACGTCGTCTTGTACACCTTCCCACTAAGCTAATTTGGAGGTTCTTCGAATAATTTTCAATTCGTGGAAAGCCATGAGTTAGTATTCACCGATACAGAATTTCACGGCCGCTATTCTCAAGGTACCAGCCGTGGCTTTATTTCTTGGATTTTTCCACATGTTGTTTATCATCGCCTTAGTTGTTTGCTATATTCATGGTGCTCCAAACCTGTTGCTAGTCGTGTAAGTGGAATGACTATCATTGTTTTTTGCGTCTCTATCATGATAAAAGGCAACCTTTGATGCGATTAAGTGTTCTTGTATATTTACCATGAGTTCTGTTATGCCATGTTTTCACAAGAGCTATACTCAAATGTAATCTAGTGTGCTAATGTAAAGTGAATTTTTTTTAGTTTTCTCCATCAAAAAATCAACTCGAAATCTGAGTTCATTACACCATTGCAGGATTGCTGCAAGCAAAGACCACGTTCTACTTCCTGATCTCGGTAACGTGTACTTTGCTGGGTTATTCTTCCAATTCCTTTGAAAAGATTGCAAAATCAGCTGCTTACTATAACAAATAAATCTGCTAACTTGTGCAATATACAGTAATATTACTTAAGATTGCTACTTTTTAGTGGCAAGTTTGGGATACTACTGAAATTCTTTGGGCAATATCAACTTACGGTAGTTCAAGTAGGCATTGAATTCCCTGAGTTCAGTTTTGTATATAACTGTATATATGAATCCAGACTTTGTGCTAATTGAAAGATGCGCTCTCTCAACAGAAAACACGATTGGGAAAGACTATCAATCTTCTTCGAAAGAAAACAACCAATGAGGAATTAGCCAAGAGGGCCAAAGGACTCGTTAAGAAATGGCAAAAGTTAGTGATCAATCACCTTGAGACATTGCGTAATGCGGATTCTCCGATCAATGGGAGCGGAGTATCGTCACCGCAGATTAATGGGACTATCAGGGATACAGAGAAGCCTGCCTCTCCATCTGTGGACAGGGCAGGCAAATCGAAAATCCTTGAAGGGAAAAAGAGGGGCGTCAAAAGGAAACGTAACAGTTGTTCAAGCTCTGAAAATTCACCTGTTGTATTCTTAAAGTCGGATGATTCTGAAAGTCATCCGGGAACTCCTAATTCTGGCCAGGACACAGGCCTCGGTAGTCAGAAAAGTAACACTTGTTCATTATCACAGACGTCGCAAACAGAGCCTTTTCAGGATAAAGGATATTTCTCGTCAGTGTCTCAGTCTCGATCGCAGACATCACAGAGTGGAGATAAGGAAAATTTATCGTCATCAACTCAAACAACAGACTTACAGAGCCCTGAAGATAACAGTGTTTTTTCGGTGGACTCTGGAATTGGTTCACAGCCAAGTGTTACAAAGTTAGACGAATTAAATATTGAAAGCCAAGCAGTTGCTCAAGATTTGGAATTGAACAGTACATTACAAGATAAGACAGAAATTGATTCTGTTTCATGCATGTCACAGGATTCTCACGAAAATCTACCAGACACCAGATGGCAGTCATCTTCACCGAATGAAGAAGTGCCTAGTGAATCAAACAATGCCTCTAAGGTTGCTAATAATTTGCCTGATGTTGACACAACAGAGGCGACTGCTGCACAAGAATTACCTGTAGAACAGGAATCGCCAACGTCACCCATGACCAAAGAATTAGTTTTAGATGTAAATGCCCAAGCAAATGGTGTAACAGGCCGATTTGGTGGTGACGGCATGTGGTATGACTGGACTGAAGTTATGCCTTCAAGTGATGGTGCTTTACAAGTCTTGCCTTACGTGATCCTTGAGTAAAATTGTTAATAACAGCTTCGTCAATGCCTTTAGTTGTGTTTGCAACACATCGCAGAAAAGATACAAGTTGTATAAGCAATTGCTTACAGTATGAGTACATCTAGGATGTTATTTTCTTTGTTAAATTAATAAATTAACATCACTTAGTGTGTGTTTGAGTTGTGTCAGTTTTGCTACTGCTCTGTTAATCTTGAGATTAGTTCACTATTAATATTTTATACTTGAAGGGATTACTTGTCAGCAACTCGCAAAAAATGTTGAGACTGTTCCAAAACAGTGAACTCCATTAAGACCTTCTTTTTCTTTGCCTTATGAATTGAATGATCTCATTAGTAAAAATTTAAAGGTTAGTTTGGTAACTTTGGAGATGCGATAAACTCATTGTAACTGCACTGTCCAGTAGCTTTTAAATTTGAGAGGAAACTGTTTGAATATGAACAAGTTATTTCTGTTGGAAATACTTTTTTTTTTTCAGCCGAGTCACCAAACATCCCTACCAGTGATTTTAGGATTGAAGTTTTGATTGTATGCACATTTTGAGCTGCTTCCTTTCAAACTATGATATTGGTTTCTTTACTAGGTGAACATGTATTACATAAACAGTGATACCAGCAAAGATTGGCTTAGATCAGTCCTTACAATTTAAAGGTTCACTGACTGGTAAATCTTAGACTCTGCAAGATTGTAAAACTTGTATGTTTTATGCATTGCCAAGACTTTCTTTGCCTGTTGAAAGAAATTGAGACAATGAGACCACATCATGAACAAGAAAACTAAGAGGGCAAGACCCTTGGAATTTGGCTAAAATATTTAGTGAGATGCAAATTCTTAAAAGGACCACTGATTACCTCAAAGGATCTTGGTGGTGGAAGTGCACATGCCCTCATGGCACTTTTCCTACATCCCTGGGTTGTTCAAAGCCTGATTAAGCTAACCCAGGATTAGCAAGAATTTTGATTCATGTTTTGGTGAGGTTTTCTGTTTTTACGGTTTGTTCTTCTGTATTGAGTTTGAATAATCTCAAACTACACCAAACATAAGCAGTGAAAAACATTTTCATTCAAGAGACATTTCTACTTAAATTAACTTTTAATCCTGAGTTAGCTTTAACCAGCTTTTAAACAACCTGACCCAGTAGTTTAACATGAACAGTTCTTTCCAGTAAGTTGCAGTTTTCTGCCAAGTGTAATCAAGGCGTGAGTATTGTCTTGCAGTTTTGACCCAATGACAAGTTGCTGAAATGTTTCAATTTTTGTGTTGTCACTTCCCTACTGATGTCAGGAAATATATAATTTTTTTATTCTCTTAATTTGCTCAACCAGGCAATTCTCTTAATTAGCTCAGCCAGGCAATTCCCCCCCTGAACACTTGCGTAAACTTCATGTGCTGAGGTGGTTTGTTGTCGACAATTTGTTATCTAATTTGCAAGTACAGTTGAAATTCTGAACCTTTGACCGATTACTGTGGAAAAGGATTTCTTTGGGAGTTATTTTCTGCAGCTGACTTACAAGGCACCTGCAATCACTCCATTGAACTGAAGAAGACGGTTATTGCGTACAGATGTTCCATGAATAGGTGCAGAAAAGATCCACACCCACACCAAGGGTGGGCATTGGAAATTCTGAGGGGGTGGGTGGTCTCAATAGCCAAATTTTCTAAAGGGAAAGCATGAAGCTTAACTGGAAATTCCAGGGGGAGAGGGAGGGAGATACAAACCAAATGACCATTGGTGGAGGTATTGATATTATTTTTGCTGGAACCACACAGTAGCTGTCAGTAAATGATACCAAAAGGTATTGGCACTCTAGGTTAATAAATGATTGTGTGGAAAAGCAATTCACTCGTCACAGTTTCCATGTTGAAGATTTACTTTTTCTGTGTTGATACTGTTATGTATTAAAATGTGTCTGTCGCATTATTTAGTGCATAGGAATACATTTGAAAACAGATGTTGAGGTATCAAGTAAAGATGTTTACATTAAAAATGTTTAAAATAATAAAGATCATTGTTGCATTTAAATGGTGTTCTTTTTCTTTCAACAATGGAAGTGGTCTGAAGATCATCCTGAATTATGATAGGAGTAAACAAAGCAAAAAAGCAATCAAAGGATTGCAATGCTATTTGGAATAGAATAATGTAGATTTTTGCCTTCATTGTTTCTTGAGCTTTGAGAACCTCTCTGGCTCTGATACCACCCAAGCTCCCGTTGAGTTATGCAAGACCAGCTCCTCGCATAATAGTGTGGGATGGGGTTGCACAATTAAACCAGGAAGCAAAGAGAGCTTGAATTGCACACGAGGTAGAAAAATAACAACACTGCCAGGAAGTGACAGGAACTGGGAGGGACATTTTTTTGCAACATTGCATAAGATTTTGTAATTATTTTATATATAAATATAAAAAACAATCAAGCCTTTTTAACCCCCCCCCCCATCTCCATTGGCGGACAATGTAGCGGGGCAGGGGGGTACTCCCTTATATAGGCTATATAGGTATGTGCGGCCCCAAAGGGTATGGTTTTTCAGCCGTTTCTATCATAAATTATAGGGTATTGATTTTGCACTCTAGTCTTAAATTGGGTATGTTTTTTTACAAGAAGCTACTTTTTCATCATTATTGATAAGGCCATCAACATAACCCATTAACAACTGTGCCAGCCCCAATGGTCATAAGTAGGGAATCCAATTTTTTTGTCAGATCATAAATAGGGTAGGGAAAATAGCAGATTTTGGTCATAAATAGGGAAAGGCTTTTACGAAGCAGGCTGCACACCCCCACCCAATTTTTCTGGGAATACCCGCCCCCCCCACTCTGCCACGCAATGTAGCTTGGTGACCATTTTAACCTTGTAAAATGGCAAACCTGCGCAAAATATTAAAACACATACAACAACAACACCCCAGCTCTTAGTCTCCCGGCAAACACTTATAGACTTGTAATGTGTTTCAACTCCAAGAATGCTCAAGTGTGTGGGAAGGGAAGGGAGGAAGGGGAGGGGGGAGGGGNGGGGGGGGGGAGAGAAGGAGAAGGTTATGAAAGGGCATAGGAAGCTTGGCCCACTCCTATGAATTGTTCTTGTTGAAAGAGTGTACAGACCAAAGGGCTGAAAAAATTTTGCACTTCCCCCTTGTTTTGTCATAACTTTAGTTACCTTTCACTACCACATTCCCACTGTTTCTTTTGTTTCTGGATATGCCACAGACCTTGCAGCTTTTTCGTTACCCTGCAGTATAACAATGCCTCAGTTTTTGGTTCTTTTCCCGCATTTAAAACGTCACCCTGTCACTAAGGCTTGATTTAGGTGGCACGCTGCTAGCTGGAGTGAGAGGATTTCACTTAATCATTCACACTTGATCAAAACACCACAGTACCAGAACTAAGAAAATCCTTCCCTCAGTCTGGAATTGTTATACAGAACTTTACGTTTTATTTCTCAACGTCCACAGTTTTGCAGTTTTTAACCTGGAAAACAAAGACAGAACTCTACTGACAAAATATGGTAACATTTTATACAACAGAAGCCAATGGTTCTGACAGATAACATAAAAAATTCATGACATTTCTTGTACCAGTCTAATACTTAATGAAACATTGAACAAAATCTAAGTGTCAGGGTTTCCAGATTGAAGTAACACTACCTTAAGAGTTTTACAAAAAATGTAAGTTTCAGGGGCAAAAGGAATCTCAAGTACACCTTCATGAGACTATTAGTCCAAACAGCAATTTAGTGTCTCGAGTATACCTGGAATTATTTGTTCGTAATAATTATCAAAATAAACAATTTTAGCTTACATGTAATAAATTGTGACTGTGCCTTTGTACATTTATTATTTTCTTACCATATGTTTGATTCTACAATCTCAAACTCATTAACAATTATTTTATCAAGTTTAAACAAAGGAAATCAAGACCGTAATGGTGCTGGGAAATCTGATCTAACTTGACATAGGCTTTTTCAATTTTATTTCTCTGTTTTCTCCTTATAAGTAGTTTTAGTTTCGATTGAGAAGATATATCAAACACTCTTGAAAGACAGTATTTGACCACGTTTCCAGATACCTCATAGTCTGTCAAAAACACTCTGCAGTGTGTCATGTTTTCAACTCTCTTCTTGGCATTTGAAAAATTGTTTAACAACATTTCTTTTACTAACAGACCATATTCATATTCTCAGAACTGGAATGAAACTAGCTTGCAACTGAGGCTAACGTGGGAGTCTTTTCAAATGCAAATGACATTAAATCTCTTTTTAATGATATTCTCCTGCGTGAGCCTCTATTACAAGCTAGTTCAAGTCCAATACCAGGTATAAGAATATGGTCTGTTAAGCCAGTTTTTTTTTTATGTGGCATAAAATTTTTGTTAAAAGGTGAAAATTGTTGTTGTAAAGTTTTCTGCAATAAGGTCGTAACTAAAGGTTAGTTAATTAACACTGTTATCTGGTTATGATCACCTCAATGTACTTACAACATTATTTTATCAGCTAACATTGGTTTTCACTGACAATTCAGCATCTTGATACAAAGCTATCAAAATTATTTCATATATTTCTGAAATCAGTGTTCCACATAAGTGAGGGGTCTCAGGTAAAAAAAAAAACTGACAAGATCAGCTACATCACCCGACAAATTAATCCAAAATTTATAATGATGTGGTGGGGGCAGTGGGAATTGACCCACTGGAATTCCTTATTGATACCCTGCCTTGAAAACTTATCTGGAACCCTGTGCAGAAGCGGACCAAAGGGGGAGGGTGCAGGGGTGCCCAAACCCCAGGAGATGAAGCCTCCTTCTTCGTATTGGCTTTTAAAATTTGTTCACCCGACCAGTCAGTTATGCCATTCCTTAGTGGTGCACCCCCTCCTAAGAAAAATCCTGGATCCGCCCCTGCTGTGTGAAAGTTCTTTCTCTGTCAGCTGCAACGAACTTGTCTTCAAACAGACTGTAAGTAACAAATTTGTAAATTTTTAGACTGAAGGGCTGGATACAATTAAGGATTAAATGTGATTACAGTGGAACCCTCCCAGTTAATATGGTCACCTCCTTATTACGGCCACTTTTTATTGTCCCAGTGAAACACCCATATATTTTCTTTGCAGCCACCCCATTAATAAAGCCACTTGAACCAGTTATGTTATGCACAGTTATCTTTCCAGTATTAAAATATTGTATGAACTGATTGAAGTTTCAATTTTTTAAAATTATACTTGCATTCCAGATGCTTATTAGAGAACAGATGTTTAGAGCAATCATGATAATTATCTGTTAAGACATCACTCAATTTAGACCAGTCGTGAAATTTGATCCCACCCGGTTAATGCTTCCACCCCGTTGATACCGCCGAATTTTCATGTCCTGCTGGTGACCGTATTAATGGGGTGTCACTGTAATAGCAGTGCACTGTAATTCTGTGTACATTTGTACATTTTAGGACATTTCTTGTTGTGTGGATACTAATGCAGTATAAGGTCTTAAACTCGAACCTGAACACCAAGAACTTCTTTAAGTTCACAACAGCCATTATTTTATAATAATAATAATAATAAAGAAAAGGATTATTACTTTTTATACTTGTACACAGTATTTGGTTTGATATTAAAGATGATTACCAGTCTGTACTGTGCACTCTGGAGAGTTTGTTTGCGTTTTTTGTTTTGTTTCAGGTAAGAAATCACAAAATATTTTGCAACTACTTACATGAAGTAAATTCAAAGTTTCAAACCAACTGCCATTATGGATGCACAGCAGTCAAAGCTTTATGCTTCGTTCTTCCTCAGATCACTCGATGAAACAACTTCACAGCTGAAAAAATCAATGAAGCTGATGGAAAAAGAATTTGAAAGGCCTCAACGACAAGGTATGTGGTTCATAACGAAAAACATTGATTTGCATTCCATCGATTGAGCTGTTTATAATGTTTATAAACTTTAGGGTGCTGAGACTGTGCAGTACGGACTGGAAATCATCTTTAAGTCCCACTAAGTAAGTGAATTACATATAGTGTAATAATTATAAACAACTGGAAATATCACCCAGTAAAATCTTTCATGATGAACTCCAAATTCTTCTTGAGGTGCATGGCCAGATGGTGCTTGGAGTCTTGTGTCTAGCTGCTGAAATAAAGATCCATTCTTAAAATCATCAGACTCCCACTCTATCAATTTTTAGTATAAATCTACTAGCGTTCTATCACGAATGTCGCTTTCCGATTGGCTACGCTACTCGCTATCTATTCTGTGATGGATAGTGAGTAGTGTAGCAGTGTACCTTTGTTAACAAAATGACGGCCACTTCTTGGTGTTTCTGAAGTGTCTGATGAGGAGGATTTAGATAAAGTTTTGAATGACTAGTAGATTTATACTAAAACAATTAGATTATTTGCTCTCTATTTCTATGCGTGATAGTTGACGAGTGCACCGTTGTCAACTATCACATGATAGAAATCCAGAGCGAATAATCTTATTGTTTACTGGAAATTAATTTCTAGTTGCTAGTTCTCTATTTTTTTCTAGTTGCCTGTCCTTGTAACAATTTACAATATTATTCCACTAAGCTTTTAAGTCTCTTAAACTTTACTTAAGCCTATAGTAATTTTGAAACCACATGACTTATTATAGGAATTATGACATTCTCTTTGAACTTTTTCTTCATTTTTCTATTCACTTTTTGTAATAAATAATTATCACTTGTCAGTTGTTTGTAAGGTCTGTCAGTTACCAACTCAGAAGCTAATTAAAAGCTACTTTCAATAGACTAAATTGATATATTAAAATCCAGCCTAAAACAATAGACCTCAGTACGAGGCTCTGGGGAATAACTACAGAGTTTGTGGGGTTTATTCCCTGGAGCCTCGTGCTGAGGTTTATTGTTTTAGGCTGAATTTTAATATATTGAAATTGGTCTATTGGTCCCTGACCACATCTTAATTTTGTTTTAGTTGTACATTTTTGCCTTTTTTTTTTTCCATTTTCATATATTCCTCGTTGATATTGTTAGTAATTTTGTTAAAATCATGTACACACTGCAGGCCTATGATGAGTTATTATTGCCAATAATTAATTTACGCACCACTGATAATCTTAGGCAAAAGAGTCAGCTTCATCTGATGCTACCAGGCTCTGCAGAAAAAATTAAAAAAATTAAAATTATTTAAAAAAAAAATATTTGCCAAAACTGAAAGCTGCCCAAGAAATAGAATTTTTAGGGGAACAACAATGAAATTGTAAGGGAGTTTTAAAGCTGAGAGCTCTATGTTACTCTAACAAGCATGTCTAGGTCATTTTTCCTACAGTGTCTTGAAACATGGGATTTTGAGCACATGGAAGAAAATCAGACAACAAAAACTGTAGGTGAGAGTTTTACAAGAGTGCAAACAAGGCTGATTTTTCATATAAACTAATGTGCATGAGAAAAATACTAAGTAAACATAATAATAATAATGATAATGATAACGATAATGATAATGATAAAAAAAAAAATAATGGTAATGATAAAATTGGAAAAAATTAGCTCAGTAGGAAGTTGTTTGATGCAGGTAGCAAAATTAATCATTCCCTAAAATCCTATGTGTGCTAGATGACTTTTTTCGTAAAGTATATTAAATAAATTTTGACAACAAAGCTACTTAGAGTAACATAATTTTTCAGTCACAAACCTCATTGAGAGTCAAAGCTTTTCCTGCCTGAGGCTTTCTCGGACTATCACCAAATGGATCCTCACTCAATACTCCTTTGTCGGCAAAAGGATCACTTATATCGCTGAAAGGATCGTCTGAAGAAAATGCCGCAAAGGAATCGGACAAGTCATTTTTAAATGGATCTCCACTGCCGAATACGCCATTGCCTTTTGCTGGTGTAAAGGCTGCAAATAAATCCTGATTTCCAAATGCAGATGGGAACAGTTCAGAGGGTGGATTTGTGGCTGCAAAAGGATCCAAATTATCGCTTTTGGAAGTGTCACTTGCAGACTTTTGGGGGAAATCAAAGTTTGTGAAAAAATCGTCACTGAATGGGTCAGAGAAGTCCTTGGTTTTCTCTTCTGCAGATGTTTTCTGTGAGTTTGGCCAAGATGCTGCCCAATCAGAATTCCCACCTTCTGCAACACCTTTGCTATTGTCAAACTTCTGATCGAAAAAGTCCACACCAAATGGAGCAGGAACTGCTACAGTCTCATTTGATGAAACGTTCGCTGAATTTTCATTCAAATCTACTCTTGGTGGCAAAGCAGGAGGAGGTTTCTTTGCACTTCCTTTCTTTCCTTGACGAGGAGAGTTTGATGACGGTGATCCTGTTGATGTCTGTGAACCAGCAGGGGACATTCCAGTTGAAATTGTCGAGCTTGAGCTTGATGGCCTGGCTGGCAGGGGAGGGGCTGCTGCTACAGGGCGTGGTGGCAGGGGAGGAGGGACAGTGGGAGAAATGGGACGTTCTGAAAAGGTTGGTTTTGAATCCTGAATCACAAGCTCTGAAGGTGCTATGTCTGGATTTTCTTCCGTTTTTCTTTCATCCACAGCCTTTGAGATGGGGCTTTGTTCTTCCAAATGAGTTACGATTTCATCCATTTCTTTTACTTTAGTTTCCTTTTCAAGCTCACCAGATGGCAATTCACCTGATAATTCCTTTGCAAATACAGTATCCTCATTTGCATTGTGAACAGAACTTTCCTTGGTTTCTTCAAGGTCAATCTTCCCAGAGGTAGATGGCGGCACAGGAAAGCTCACTGTCAATTCTTCAAATGGATCCTTGGACAAAGCAGGAGGATCAGGAGACACCCCAGTATTCTGGGCCTCTGTAGTACTTTCTTCAAACTGCGAAGATGACAGAGGTGTAAATGCTCTGTCATCAGGCAACTGAGGCTCATCAGCTGTCTGGGTTTTCTCCTCAGGTTTACTAGGCATGTCATTTAATTGAGGATTGCTGGGTTCAGTGGACTGTGAAATCGGCTGTGCACCATGCTTAGACACACTTGACACTTCGTTAGAAGACTCCACAGTTGATGTTGGAGCAAATGCATCACCAAAAGCTGAAGAGTCAAACTGCGAGTTGTTGCTGTCTCCAGCCATCTCACCAAAGGCATCATCCCAAGAGAAGGCATCTGGCCCTTGACTGGAAGACTCTTTATCAGTTGTGGCAGCTCCACCAAAAGCATCATCCCATGAAACTGACGCCGAAGACTTGGGACCAGTTGCAGAAGTTTCAACATCTTCTGAAGTGAAACTTTCTGTCCAGGAAAACTGACTCTCTGATGTAACAACACTCTGTGTTGCTCCTGGTTGGCTTGCAGCTTTTGTCTCTTCAAATGTATTGTCCCATGCAAAGCTCACAGCTGAATTTTCAACAGACTGAGGCAACCCCTTGGCTTCAACAGTTTTCGCATCTTTACTACCTTCTTGGGTGCGATCCTTTTCGAGAGTAGAGATATCTTTTGGTGGGCAAAACTGCTCTGAGCCAAATGCTGTTTCAAAACTGGTTTCTGAAACAAAACCTTCTGCACTCTCAAAGGTATTGGCTTTTGCTTTAGCATCAAATGAAGAAGCAAACGGATCATCTGAAGGTTCATCTTTTCTTCTGCCATTCTCAACACCTTTCTCCTCAAGATCACTGAATGAGGCATCAAAAGCTGCAAAAGAGGTGGTAAAGAAGCTCTCACTAGCACCTGGGTCTGTTCTTTCATCTACACTTGTAGTGACATCAGATGGTGCAAAGGGATCTGAACTACTTTCAAAGCCTGTTGATGTCTCTGAAACTGGTGGTGCTTTAAATGTGCATTCCACATTGGCATCACCCTGAGGAGAAAATGCAGTCGATATATCTCCTTGGTTTCCATTCTCCGATGCCTGCTCATTGTCTTGTTCGGCTTTGCCACCCAAGGAAGAGCCTGTGGCATTATTGTCATCAAAGGCAGTAGCAAATTCTGCTTGAAATCCTTCCGCAGTAGCTGTCTGATTTAACAGAGAGCTGCTCCTTGAATGGCCGCTCCTTGTGTCTTGAGAATGAGTTTCTGATGACCCTGACGAGACTGAACCACTTCTAACCACTGACATATCAGCTGATGCCACAGACACAGTGTCTGCTGCTCCTGATTCACCAGGTGCACAATCAAAGACAGAAGGACTGAAGAATGCCATATCATTACTGCTGCTTTCATGGGTGGCGAATGGAACCTCTATTGATGCCTGCGACACTTGATCAGGATCCTAAAAGGACAAAAACATAATGCAATGGTACAATGTGTCACAGGGTGGTGGCCTCATGGTTAGTGCACTCGCCTCTGAATTGAGTGACCTACAGTTGGTTCAAACCCTGGCCAGGGTCATTGCGTTGTGTTCTTGGGCAAGACACTTAACTCTCACTGTGACAGTATCTCTCTTCACCCAGGTGTACAAATGCGTACCGACAAAGTTAATGCTGGGGGCTTATCCTGCAATGAACTAGCATCCTGTCCAAGGGAAGGGATAGAAATACTCCTAGTCGCTTTATGCTACTGACACCAGAGATAAGCGCCGGCCTGACAGGCCACTTGGTTATTATGAAGACTTTGCCTTTACCTACAATATATTACATCTCTTTCAAAAATACAGCAAGTAACCCAGATCTCCATGCTTTTTTAGGGCATATAAACTTTGCAGTGCTGCATGCTATATATCATAACCACAGGACATAGTTTTGATCATTTTTTTGCCAACTTTTTAACACGTTTCTGACAGCTTCTGCATGAGTTGGGCAATAGAAGTGCAAGAAAGTCTGTGAAAGACTGAATTGTCAAGTTTCAAGTTCACCCTCTGACAGCTGTCAACTTTGCCCTCTGCACTTTTTGGATTGTTTGATAAACTGAAATTAAAGCCACCAAAACCTTGCAGAAAACATTGGTAAACAACTGTGAAGAATTAATCAGTACCAACTGAAGATAATTTGAAAAAAATTGACAAGTGACAGTGATATGACATGCAGCTAGATACAAAACATAATGAAAAATGGACCCCACTTTAATGGCCTCACTTACTCTACCTCCAAATATTTGGTTCAGTTATGCTGTTGGTTCATGAAGGTCTTTCTTGGCAAGATAACTTGCTAAAGGGCTGACAGATAGAGTGCATCCCAGAGTTTATTAAACAAAGTGACTAAGAACTGCCTACTTCCTGCGCCAGTCTGCTTCAAATTTTCCTCTAGGTCATTTTACCTCAAAGCCTGGTCAATAAATGCAATAAGCAACTACCTCTCTGCATGCATTGCACACCTATAATGCTAGCTGATAAAATATTTCAAGTAACGCACCTTATCCATGGAAGATGGGCTTAAAAGGTTAGATGAATTTGACACATGTGCTTGTGTTGTCTTCTCTCCAACCTTCATATTAAAAAAAAAGCATTACAAAATTAATCATCAAATAAAATTAAAAAAAAAAAAAAATAATAACGCTATTTAGAGAGGAAGCCACATCAGCCTTAGATGGTTTTCAAGCGGGTCCTCTATCCTGGTTGAACTGGAATTTGGAGATGTTGGTTTTTATGGAGCGAGGAAGACTGGAGAACCCGGAGAAAAACCCTCAGAGCAAGGCAAGAACCAACAACAAACTCAACCCACATATGACACCAGGCCGGAATCGAACCCGGGCCACGTTGGTGGGAGGCACGCGCTCTCACCACTGTGCCATCCCTGCTTCCCAAATTTTGAAATCCAATGAATCCCCTGGGAGTCACTTAGTGTTAAATGGAGTACAGGCCATTAATACCATAACCGTTAAATCTATTGTTTAAGAATCCTTGGCAATTTTTGCAATGAACATGATTTCACATGAATTTAAATTAAATGAACTTACATGGAATTGAGGACCAGAATGGGTAACCAGAAACATATTTGGTTAAATTGATGTTTCAATTAGGATAATAAAGCAGACTATGGGTAGTGGTGTTTCCGCAAAATGATCGAGAACTACATTTTATAATTGTTTTCATATCGAGCCTGACATAACACCGTGACTAAAGACATATATTAAGCATTTTACTACACCTCTATGAACTTGCTTTATTAGTAATTTATCACACAATCTAGTAAGTTCAGAGGGCCAGTGACTAAACTCAACCAATCAGATTGTTTCATTGCCAGTTTAGTATTCTTTAAATATTGGACCAGGCACTGTCCTGAATGATCCTGTAATATCGCTCTTGAAGATTTTCAGGTAGTTTCAATCACGTAATAAATCTCTTATTAACCAAGCTTGCTCGGGACAGTACTGGGAAAATATCAGCTCTTAGAGTCTTTCTTGTACATCCGAGTGCAGCAAGGTCCATACTTCCAAGACCTCAGGCTGAAACTCTTCCAGTATAAACCTCTCACTTGGTTAACGATATATGTACAGTATCGTTTCCTATAGGATTCTACACTGTTCACAGCCTCTCTATATTCACACACACAAAAGAAAAAGCGAGCGAAACAAGCACAAGACACACGGGGGTGGAGAGTGGGGTTTGTGAGCAAAGCAAGCAAGAAGAATTTCCATAAGGCTTTACATGGTACAATGTGAGTTGTAGAGATGTGATGCAATGACTGTGCCCTAATGTACTTGTATGTAGCAGTAAATCAAGAAAGGCTGTGCTTTGTGCTAGAACGTCAAATCAGTTTTAATTAACAACACATTACGAATTATTATGTACCACATATTAATGCACTGCTATGGCTTAAAATACCTCAGAATCTTTGTTGTTTTCTCCCAGTAGTGGTGGAAGGGCAGCCTGAACAGGCAGATTCTTTGGAACCTAATTGGACAAGCGCACACAACAACAATAAAATGACTCATTTTGATCTCACTTAATTCATGTACTAGTCATTAAATACTGTATGGATGTAATGACGTCAACTGGGACCTCCTAACTAAGTTACTCAACACTTAATATCAACCAATCACACCAAAACAAATTTCAGCAGAAAGTTGAGCATCAAAGACATTTGATGATCCACAGTAACTCTTGATAGATGTAGACATCACAGTACTTTGCATGCAGTAGAGCATGTTTTCCTTCGTTACATAGCCTTGTCTAAACACGAGGGAGGTTTGGGGAATTTGTGACAGTTGTAAAAACTGGAGACACAGTTGAGGGTTTGTATATTAACTTTTGAGAATTCTCCCAACCCTCCAAGTGTTTAGATGAGGCTATGTAAGCATGGAAAAAGTGTTCTTTACTATTGCTTTTATGAAATATTTCTCAAAAAATGTGCGAATCTAAAACATCACAATCGTGTTGACATATTCTCATCTAAACACACTTATCGACCAATGAGAGTGTGCATAGTAGCTCAGTTATTTTATAAGCTCTCAGATTCAAAATTGCTTACTTCATAATGTGGGTCTTGTTTTGTCGTAGGTGTCACCGGTTCAGCATAGTGCTGATCTTGTGGACTTGCTGCGGCATTTCTGTTGTTACCATTTTTATATGGTACCTAAAATAAGGAAATGTACAATTAATGTTATCCATGAATTTAAATGTTCCAATTATAAAGTTGGTGTTTGTGATATTTAAATTATTTCAGTAGTTTTCAAGTCAATATTTAAGTCTTTTGTTTTGAATACAGGGTTTTTAGTTTCTGCTAGATCTAAGGAATTATAATTTCTTGTGCTCGGCAATGTTTTTTTTTTCAAAAGCATGAGAAGCAAATGTGATATCATTGTGCAATTGAAGCGTTGCACAGAATAAGGCCCCAAGTGACTGTTGATATACAGTAATGTCAACTACCCTTTTGTTTAACAAGGGGATACAAGGCATTCATTCATTCATTCTGTTTATTTTGCCTTTTTACTTAATGTACAGTATTCATAAATGTTTTAATGCCAGGCGAGGTGACCTCTAGAAACCATCAGGCTTTTAGTTGAGGCCACCTCGTATGTAACAATACGCAACAGTGTGCGGCTTTGACAGTTCAGTAATTATTTTACTAAAAACTCTTGCAGTTTTTTCTTAAAATTGGGAAAACTTGACAATGAAGTGATTGTAACAGGAAAGGAATTCCAGATCTTTGGATCTTAGTAAAGAATTGTGAATTTTTTTAGATTAGTCCGGCAATGATGTACACAACAATTATTGGCTGTTCTGGTGCTATAGCCATGAATTCAACTGTTTGTAAAAAACAAGTTGAAAAACAATGGAGGAAACAGGTTGCTATGATACTAGTACATAAATTTAGCTATATGAAACCTGTTGATTTGATAAATGTCTAAAATTCCTAATTTGGAGAATAAAGGAGCAGAATGTGCTCTATAATCTGAATTGGTAATAGCTCGCACAGCCCGTTTTTGCAAACAATAAATGTGGAAATTTTGGAAGGAGAGTCTTACAGTTTATCAGTAGTCACTTAGGGCTTTTTCCAGGCACCCCTTGACTCGGAAGGTTTCAAAATACAGCACTGTTAAGCATAAATTATTTAGAGAGCTTTATGAAAGTGCTTCTAATCACTTATAATTTATAATAGTATGCTGGCCTAACATGAGCGGTGGAGGCGTGGTTGCCACATGGTTAGTGCACTCGATTCGAGTTTGAGCAGTCAGGGTTCGAGTCCTGGTTGGGTACATTGTGTTGTGTTCTTGGGCAAGACTCTTTCCTCTCACATTGCCTCTCTCCACCCAGGTGTATAAATGGGTACCAGAAAATTTAATGCTGGGGGCTAACCCTGTGATGGACTAGCATCCCATCCATGGGGGAGTAGAATTATTCCTAGTTGCTTCATGCCACAGAAACTGGGATAAGCTCAGGTCTGATGAGACCCTTGGCCCGTATGCAGACTTTATAATTAATCTAATACAAACAGTTCTAACAAGAAATCTGTTTTCTTGGTAGACTCAACATTGAGTTCTCAGACTGACAATGGGGTCGTTTTTTGAGACTTCAATCAAGATTAAGAGCAATGGCAAACATACCTCATAAATGCCATCTGACCCCTGTGGGCTTGGACCTAGAAAATGTTCAAAGAGCAATAAGAAAGTTATATGAGGGCACATCACCGGATATGAATCATTCTTGACGTGTTGCAGCACTTTTCTTGCAAATAGATACTAAAAATGATATTGAAACCCATGGAGCAATTGGCAACAAGTTGCCAAGAAATTAACTGAGCTATAAATCATGGGCAACAATCAAACCAGGGAATGATGGTTAACCAAGCATCTTGTCCACCCAATGGCATCTTCAAAGGTTTGAGAATATTGAGGTATTAGTTTCTAAAAAAAGAATGTTGGACTGTTGGACTGCCATGGCGGGCAAGTCAACAATTTTTTTTTATAAATTAACTTGTTCTTTACTCCAACAAAGGGCTTATGCTAAAAATGCAACCTTAGCAAACTCACTATAACAGTTTTAAAATTTCCTTGGATTTGTGTTTTTGGTCCCAAATTCAACTCCTCCATGCTTTGTAAATAGCCAACTGGTCAGCCTCCTGCCAGTTGGGATTTTAACAAGTTTCTGTTTAATTTACAATACTTGTTTGCATATTTTCAGTGTCCCTAATTAGTACAGTAGTGCTAAACACTTTGACACTTAGTAAACATAAAGTGATTTATTTAATATTTATTTTTATCTATTTATAGAATGATACAGTTGCTTTTAGTTCTAAAATCCAAACTTCAACACCACAAGGTTAAGGTTGGATCATTTCTCCTTTCAAACCTTGCTAATTTAGCAAGGGCAAGTCTAAGAAAAAGCCTCACCTCCATTTTAGTCAAGGTAAAAATATTTAGACAGGAAGTGACATCAGCCTTAGCTGGTTTTCATGTGGGTCAGTTCTATCCTGGTTGAATTTTTGTCAAAGGTTCCCCCTCCCTTCCCAAGGAAAATGGGGATCTGTAGAATTTGTCAACATTTAATTCTGTATTATGTTTGGACTTGTGAAAAAAACCAGGGTTACAAAAAGAAATTAATACAAGGTTGCAGGAAATATATTATTATTTACCATTTGACACCTGAGCTGAATTGGGAACCTTCTTCACTAATCCAGCCTGTTGGCGAAGTTGAAATACAACTTGAAAAAGATCATACAGGGTCCCAGTGACAACTCCAGCCTGTGGAAGAATCAACAACAAAATTATACTCTGAACCCCAGATCAAGCTGTGGAAGCATGGTGACCTAATGGTTAGTACGCTAGAATCTGGGTCAAGTGATCTGGGTATGAGCCCTGGCCAGGATCATTGCTCTGTTTTCTTGGGCAAGACATTTTACTCTAACAGTGCCTCTCTCCAGCCAGGTGTATAAATGGGTACTCTGTCAGCGAATTTAATCCTGGGGGGTAACCTTGCAATGGACTGGCATCCCATAAAGGGAGGGAGTAGAAATACTTGGAGATATGCGGGGATAAGATCCAGCTGTGTGGACCAATGACATGAGGTAGACTTAACATTTTAAGTAGGATAAACTATACTCTAAGTCAGTCTTAGCTGTAGTTACCGTGTTGAAGTTTTGGAGACAACTCTTTCCCTTTCCACCCAGGTGAATAAATGGGTGCTGGAAAACTGCTAGGGATAGCTTGGGGAAGGCATACATGAAGTAATAAACTGTATGCTTAGCAATATATTGATTATAGGATGACTTTCAAAGAAAAGGTTTGTTTCACATTTTCTGCAAGTCTTAAGAGGCTATAAAAGAAAAAACAAAACATTTAGGGTTACAGTGTATCTTTAGAGGTGTCTCACGCCTATCAGATGTACAGTAGTGCATGCAAACCAGTCAGATCTTCCTGACTAAATGCTAAGATCATTTTGGTGCAGATCATATCTGACCATAGTGTAAGATTGGTTGGACAGTGCAACAAAATTTGGTCAGACAATGTTTGATTACTGCTGTTTCAAGCATTGCTCCACTAGTTAAGGATTGAGCACTCAAAACTTAGAAAAACCTGGTATCCAGTACAAGCTACTTGGAGTTAATCACTCACAAACACAAAAAGCTTTCATTACTTACAGGTTTTTCTGACTTGATAGCAAACAGCTTGTGTCCAGTGGAGCAAGGTTGGCTGCAAACATACCCAAAGATTTTCTTGTCTTCTGGATCATGTGTTATGAATGATATTTTATTGATAGGATGTTCATGTTGTGCTTTCTGCAATAGAAAATTAAAAACATGGATTAAAACACATCTGTTTTTACAACAAGTTTTAAAATTAGATGAGAGGGTAGCCAAGGGGGGCTGCCCCATTTCATGCACAAATTTTAACACAATTCATGTGTCATACCTACTTTAAGGTACTTTTAATGATGATTTATTCATACATTCAGGAATAACTTCTGTCTTTTCGCTGCTTTACACGCATCATACACTACATGTAATTTTCACTCTCATGGTGAGTCATGCACAAACCCTTTGCCACAGTCAGGACAGAATAGGAGAGATTAGGGCTTGTTTTAATATTTCAAGATTAATTTGTTCCTGCTATAACTAACACTAAATTTTCCCCCCTGGGACTAATGCCACTATTGGTGAAGAGAAAATTTAAATGTTCAGGAAAAAAATGGCCATACAAAAAAACAGAAATAAGGTGGTGGAAAACAATGGACGTATTAATACATTGTGTACTTAGAAACTCTATCAGTTTGATAAAAATAAAGACAATTCTATTTAAGTACATTTGTATGCAGCACACTCACCTGACTTTTTTCATCTACTATCCTGATGCCTTTTAAAGTGACAATTAGCACAATCTTCTGCTTATGTTCCCCACTTTCTTTATTTAACTTTATTGCATGGACCTAGATTGCAAAACATAATGTTTTATAAACTTGCCTCTATGATTACATCAGTTGTATATCTTTTTTAATCACATAAAATGTTGGCAAAGTTGTATACATTTAAGTTTCAGAAAAGATTGATAGTATAATATTTGAGAGGCGGCAAGTGCTTCACAGACAGACAGACAGACAGACAGACAGACAGACAGACAGACATACATATACATACATATACTTTATTTACTCTTGAATTTTAGGTAGCCAAAATTAGCTAATGTCTTTGAGAATATAAATAGATGGACAAAAGAAAGACACACATGCCAAATAAATAGACAGGCAATCAAATGGCAGACAGCCACACAGACAGCCACACAGACAGAGAAAACAGTTTGTGGATAATGTGGTTTGCATTATTGGTGGTGAGATGAGTGCAGTGGGAATGATTTTGTGTGTTGGGTGGGGAAGGAGGGGGGGCGGGGGGAAGAACCTTTAAAATTACTTACGGCAGCCCAGAAGGGTCACCTACCATTTTTATTTTTTTAATGTTTGTTTCAATTTTTGTTTTCGTTTTTGTTTTTTGTCTTTTGATGTTTGTTTTCATTTTTATTTTGTTAATTTCTGTGTTTGTTTTTGTTTTTAATTTTTGTTTCCGTTTTTGTTTCTTAAATATTTGTTTTTGTTTTTGTCATTTTTTTTTTCTATTAAAAAAAAAGAAATAAAAACGGAAACAATATTTTAAAACAAAAACAAAATTAACAAAACAAAAACGAAAACAAAAAACAAAAAAAACAAAAATGGAAACAAAAATAAAAACAAAAACAAAAACGAAAACAAAATTGCAAAAGGCCAAAACAAAGTCAGTGAGTGTAGACCATCATGCTTTGCTCGCAGTATCCATGGCATTTACCGTTGTGTGATCTTTTGGCCATCAAGCGTAGTCACGCATCGGTTACTATAAACTCTACGGCCATTTCATTGCTTGTCTACTTGTCTTGGGACAAGAATATAGTAAGTACAAAGGTCCCAAAGATTTCAAGTAAAGTCAAGGATATTTCTTCATCAACTTCCTTAACTTGTAAAAAGGTGTTAAGAGGTCATTGTATAAATAAAAGCATATCATTTTCAGAGCTCTCAAACCTCGCGCAAACGAATGTAATCTTAAGCTCTCACAATGAACTAATTATTGCATGCGCGCCTTCAGAGCTTGCAAGACTTGCCTCATTTGTTTTGAAAGTCTGGCTACGGCCCTAAACTTCTACTGGCTTCAAAAGCAGCGAAGAAATTATTTTCACATTCTATGATGATCGTTTCGTTGTTTGCGTGTTCTGTGTCTTATTTCTATTTTATTGTTTGACGTTCTCGTGTTTGAGTGTGATAGAAACTTGACAGATGCAAACACATTGCATGTGAGCACCTTTTGGCGAAGGAGAAAATATTGGAAGGGACCCATACCTTACTTAGGCCGCCAACCGGTTAGCTCAGCTGGTAGAGCATTGGACTACCGTGCGGGAGGTCTCGGGTTCAAGCCCCAGACCGGACCAACACTCAGGGTCTTAAAATAATTGAGGAGAATATGCTGCCTTTGCAATGACATCTGCAAATGGTTAGATATTCTAGTCTTCTCGGATAAGGACGATAAACCGTAGG